AATTGACGAGTATCTTTTTTACTATGTTTTTCTAGTTTCTTAACTATATTATGTAATTGCTCGGCGGTTAAAGCGGGATTTTTCGCCTTTTCCAATAATTTTTCTATCGGTTCCTCTAAACCTAATTTTTCCCATAAATCTTGTTGTTTTTTAGGGTCAATGGCTAACTTTTTGCAAACCCATTCCACCACGGCCGGGTCACATTTATAATTTTCCCAATTGGTTTTAAAGATTTAAGTGAAGTTTGATTAGAAAAATACTTGACCCAATACCCAGAAACCATTCCTGCCGAGCAAACTTTTAATGATTTAGGAACGAGAGGTAAGGAGTTTTGAAATTATGATTTTGGGGTAAAAGGAGAAGCAAATATTATAGCCACTCTTAAAGAATATTTATTCTTTTGTGGTTTTGAACACTTTCTGGAATTAGTCGCTCGTCAGAAAGCCACTATCCAAGATATTTCTGGTAGCAACTGAAATCCAGCCATATTTTCCCAGGAAAATATGGAAAAAGTTTTCTATTTTAAAGGCAAAAGTTATGAAGATGAGAAAGATTTGAAGGAGGGAGAAGTCAAACCGGCTTGGAAATTTTTAACCGCTTGCCAAACTGTTTTCGCCCAAAAAAACTTGCTACGGACTATTGAGGAAGCAGAGGCTTACCAACGGACTTGCCACGCTGCTGATAAAATAATTAAAGAAAATGAAAAGTGTATAAAAAAACTAAATAACTCAAATTTTGGATACGTCGAAAAATATCAATTAACCAAAAAATATTGAAAATATTTTGACATTGAGCAAGGGGTAAAAAACACCGGAGAGGAATTAAGCGAGTTTACCGATTTTTATGCTAAGGGGAAAGAAGCAATGGCGGCTGATACACCAAACAGTTTTCAGTGAGTGTTGGAAAATATTTTAGGGGAAGAATGAAAAACTAAAACTTCTGATTTTATTGGCAAAGCGAACCGAGTGGCCGCTTGGAAAGTTTGAAAAGATTGGAAAAATAGTGAGGTAAGTTGATGGCCGATTTCGGATTCCGCTGCGGTTAATTTGAAAAATAGAGAAATAACAACTACCGACGAATTTAAAAACAAAGCAACTATCCAAGAAATTCAGAACCAATTAAAAAATTTTTCCGAGGCAGAAATTAATTGAGGTGGTCAACAAGCCGGTTTAACCGAAGCCCAAATTGAAAGTATTAAGGAGCAAACTTCTCTCTACCAATTAGACAAATTAATTGCCGAGTGAAATACGGAAAAAGTTAAAGAATCAAGCAAGGAAAGAAATACAAAACAAAAGCAAATTTGAAAGAAAATTGAGGTTTGCAAAGCGACTGAAACCAGCGAGGAGCAGCAAACTAAAATTAAAACTATCGGAACTGAATTTTTTAACCTAAAATTCACAAGGATTTTAGAGACAGAACTGACTGAATTACCAAATTTAGAAAGATGAAAAAAATGATATGATAATGTTGATAATATAACTGGTTTAGAAAAAGAAGTTTGGGAGGGGTGAAAAAATAATCACCGCACCGCTGATAAATCCAAAAATCTGATGGAGGAAAAAGCCGAGATAGTAAAGGCGAGAATTGATGAAATAACAGCCTGAGAAGCCGCTATTCCGGAAAAGACAAAGAAGTTAGAAGAAAATTTAAAAGCTATTCCGACCACCGAGGAGGAAAGGAATGACCTAATTAAACAAATTGACGAGTATCCTCCTTATGAAGGAACCGATAAGAGTGATGAGACCCTAAAACGCTATTCCGACTGATGAAATAAACTTTACCAAAACGAAAAAATTAAAGAAGAGAAAGATGCCGAAAAAGCAAAAGTTGAAAAGAATTGAGAAAAATATTCTAAATTACAAACTGAACTTGATGCTCTTCATGGTTTTGGGCAAGATTTTCCGACGACGGACATTGAAGAATCAATAAAAAAAGCGGAAGGAGAATTGAGTTGACTTGACACATTACACAAATCTACCGACCCTGTGCCAGAGAAGTTCCGAAAAGATAAAAAAGATACAATTTTAGGAAAACACGATTGATTAATACGGCAAAAATATTTATTGGAAAATCATCATGAATTAACTGAGTGAGAGAAAAGTTTAGTTAAAGAGAAAGAAATTATTTATAATAGTGAAGAGAATCGAGAATGAAAAGTTTTACAATTCAAATTTACATGCTGAAAAGACAATTTCCCCAACGTAGTTCAACGCCAACTTTTAGAAGTAAAATTGTGAAAGATAAACATATATAAACCAAGAAAAATAGTTGAAAGAGGTTGAAAGGAGTATTTAAATACAGAAAAAAGAGTTAACCATATTAATATTGAACATATAAACGAGGAATATAAAAGTAAATTAACTAAGTATGAAGAAACAATAGATGGAAAAACTTTGAAATGAGATAAAGAAGCAATTGATTTAGAAACCCATGACTATCAACAATTAAAAGTGGCTTGTCGATTATTACAAGAGATTGAGGAGGCGGAATTGGCTCAGAAAGATGAAATTGAAAGTCGAATTATCCATGCTACTAGCACTTTGGGAAATATACCGGAAAAATTAAAAACTGAAATAAATGATAAATGAACCGCTAAGTTAGCTGAATTGGAAATTGAAGCAGCAATTACAGAAGCCAAGAATAATACTAATTCTGGTCGATTGGAACCACTTTGCCAGAAATTAAAACTCCTAAATGAAACTGTCAAAGAACACAAAAGAAAGGTTTTAACCGATAATACGGGTTTACAACGTGATTTAACAGAAGCGATTGGTGATTTAGAGGGGAAAATTGCTCCTTGAAACAATTTCTTTATAGACCATAAAATTATTACTGGTTATTCTCCAGTGGTAGATGCTGATAATAAAAGAGCTTGGCATGATAAATATCCAAATGCCGATACTTCTCTTGAAACGCTTGAAGAATTATATACCAAAGCATTAACCTTTAATTTAAAAAATTTTGATGATGAAACTGAGCAAGCCGAAACCTTGGAGATTGCTAATTTAACTGAGGAGGAGCAAGGAATTATAACTGAGGCTAAAACTCCCGAAGCGATAGAGAAAGTCTGGGAAAAAATTATTACTGGCCGGCAAAAAGATAGAGAAGAACAAAAAACATTGGTAAATCAGATTACCGAAACTCTCGCCAAATTTAATGAGGTTCGCGGAAGTAATGAAGAATTAGGAAAATTATTAGATGAAATTAATCGTTCCTATGATGCTTGAAAGTTAGCAGATACTTCAACTCCGAACCATTTTCAAGCCCACCAAAGGAAAGAAACTAATATTACAGAAACTTTGGAAAATATAGCCGAGGCTATTAGGGAAAATGAGAAAAGAGAAAGAATTGAGAAAGAAAATATTTTTATTGCTGATTTTGAATTTATGCTGAGAAACAGCGAACGAAAAGATGCGGGTGGTAAATACGATGATTGAGCCGTTTCCCGTCCAAGCCGAGAAGCAATTTTGGCCTATTATAATATATTCTTTACTGCTGATAGGTCGGTGGATGGGGGAACGATGGGTTCTCTTCACCGCTTAGGTTGGCAGTGTGATAGGAATGAAATTGAGATTAGAACGCCAACTGCCGAAGGTGATGGGTATTCTGTCTCCGAAAAAGCACCAAAAGATATTGCCGAAGGTTACCTTTACCAACGTGATAACATTTTCTTGGTTAATTACCGAGGCATTAAATCCCTTCCAGTTGACAATTGAAGCAAAAGCAGACTAGACTGAATGAACCAATTAGTTCATTTACAAAATGGAACCACCGGAGAAGATTTACCGGATAATTGGGAAACTTATCAAGGTTGAAAAAACCGAGCGGAAAGTTTGACCGCCGAGCAAGTCCATGGAATTATTGGACGGGGTTGAACTAACGAAGAGATTGAGAGAAACATAAATGAAACCGGACAATTATTGACCAGGGGACTATGAGGAGGTCGAAAACGCAATGTTTTGACCGAAGAAAAAGGTTTAGTCGAAGCCCGAGAAGCGGCCAAAGCAGGGGTTGCGGAAGTGGAAAAACTTATTTTCGAACATGTAGTATTAAATAGTGTCCCCGCGATTAATGCTGTCCAAGTGCTTTTAACCAAAATTAAAAAAACTATCACTGAAATTACTGCAGCGACAGCGAGCCAAGCCCAAGCAGCGGTGGATGAGTTAAAAGATAATTATCCAGTTGATGAGAATTTAAACCAAGGTGAATGTTTAACCGCTAAGGAAAAAGCCTGATTTGCCATAAATGAAAGGGTTAGTAACTTAGCCATTGACGAATTCAGGCGACTAGAAAACTTAGCAAAATTACATGAAAAACGAATTGAAGTAATAAAAAAAGATACCAATGGAAATGATTGAGAATTATCCGCTAGTGAGTTAAAATTATTTGCGGCCAGTTATGTTGACAAGGATGAAGCAGAAGTTCTCTTAGAGGGTCATAAGTTAGCCGAACTTGATACCGTTAAAAAAGTCCAAGTCGTTCATGAAACCTTAACTCTACTCCGTTCCTTTATTAATTGTTCGTTCGATGAATACACTGGTGTCGAGAACCTTAAAGATTTAAACAATTTAACTTTTAATATTATTGATAAGATAAAAAATAAGTTAGATGACGAATATAAAGAGGTAAAAATTGGAGAAGAAAATGTTTTTGCTTTCGACTTGATTGATGCAATAGTAGATGAAAAAGTTAGCCAATTGAATGAAAATGTTAGAAATTTATGAGACTGATTTAGATTCTTCGTTAAGCACCAAATTATCAGTGGGAAAAATGAAACTTGAAATAAAAATGCAATTAGTTGATATACCGATGCTGACTTTAGAGGGGCATATGGAGTAGAAAGAGCTGAAATAATTTACGAAAATGCTCTCAACACCCCCTTATCTGGTTATCCTTACAGTTCAATTCCATTTACCCTAGAAGACGAAGATAAAATTATCCACGCCAAGAAAAAAGAGGACATTATTAATGCTCAAAAAGAAGTAGCC